CCCCCCCCCCCCCCCCGATGGCCGAATGAAATCAAGCCGTTTGGATGAGGACACTAGACCCCCAAAGTGGGCAGGGGTGAGGATCAGGAAAGCAAGTCCCTGGGCAGAGACACCAGCATGTCTGTCTGTCATTCACAGTGGGGAAAGCCTCGAGTCCCAAGCAGGGGGGGTCTCATCTCTGACTAGCATAACAAGCAAATCCACTCACAATGGCGTCCTGCAGAATCATGGCATCGTTCCTGAAATGTAGCCGTTGCACAGGTGCTGAGCTTGTTTTCAGGGGTGTAGAGTACATACTTAGCACGTGAGTGTCAGCGGGCAGTGAAAACGCGGTCGCTTTTCCACGAAAAGGTGGGAAATGTCTTTACAGCATGAAGGGGACAGCTTCAGAAATCGGGGGGGGGGGGGGTGATCAGCTGTCTGCGTCCACTAAGTGAATCAAGTTCCATGAACGGCCCGGTTTGTGTCGCCTGGTAACAGTGCTGACATCCTGCCATCCCATCATTAACAGGCGAGCAGCTGAGCAGTTTGAGATAGCCAGCGACGCTTGTCCACTGAAGAGGAGTGGGCAGCGTGGGCACCCCCAGTACTTAGAAGGACGGCCCATCAGCGACAGCTTGCACAGCCGATACGAGACACATTATCAGCGTGTCTGTGAAGTCACTCCTACTGGGCCGTGTGATTTATGCCTGTCTGAGGCGTGATAACCGCCTCGAACAGCCGTGTCCATCTTCACTTACATACCCACCTCTGCTCTGCTCACACTCACACACTGACCTCCTTTAGTCTGACACGCTCATGACACTCTTGGATGGATTGACCTCTTTGAGTCTGATACACTCCACTTAAGCATAACTTTACCTTCCTAAGGGTTAACCAGGCCTCTGTGTTCATTCTATAGACTACTCCAGCCCCGCAATGGCACAACAAAGTAATTATGCTCAGAAAAAGGGCTTCAACCAACTGCCAACCAGGTGAGACAAAGGGCAACTCCTGTATCTGGATGAGTTGCCCACTGAAATTTGACATTGCTCAAAAAGTTGCCCTGTATCATCACCCTAAGAGACCCGATTTCAATCATAACTCAAATTTGATAACGTTTGCAGTTACTGTGTTTTGTGTCTTATGGCAGATTGGACGATGCATTCATCTGTATGGGTTTATCTGTACTGTGTTGTGCTACTGCTCAGAGATGTGCCGTGGAGGCTAGCCGTGATTGGTTGTGAAGCTCATTTGCTCTGTAACAGACCCCAGCAATCTTTAGAGTTGTGCAAGTCTGGCCGCCCAATGTCATCGTCCTAGTGCCTCAGAACCCCAATGAAAAACACACTGCGGGAGAGAGATTATTGTTTGCGAAAAGGTACATTTCTCCAGTTAATAAAGCGAGGCTGCGGTCTTTCAAGGCTCCAGCAGAATCTGCGCTTGTCAGAGTCTCTCCCAGCCGGTATGTTTCCAATTAGGCCCATCTGAAGGAGTTAGGAAAAACCCCTGTTTGGATGCTAATTGCTTTTGAAAGTCTGACCCCCATTTGCTCAATATTTTCCTCGGCAGAAAATTCCAGGAAAAACAAAGCAGGAGAAAACCTTTAGGCTGCGGGGCCACTTTCGCATGTGTGTTTGCAGAAGAATCGTTTTCATGTGATCGTTCCTCATGTCTCCAGGCGAAACTGCATATCGCACGTCCAGCTTCCCATGGAAAAGCATGGTGATTGATGTCCAAAATTTTAACTGTATTTGTTTTAGAAATTTGTAAAAGGCCTCCGGGGAATAATTTGCTTAAATCACTCAGAAGAACGGCAATTCTGTTTTTATTATCCCAAAATCCCAGTCGCTTGCTGAGCTCTTGACAAAAGGTGGTAAATATTTTACTCTTGGAGTTCAAGGTGATGATATTAGTGTCTGAAAAGCAACCCTGGGGTGGAATGTGAATTGTCAGCCTGAGGTGGACTTACCTTCGAGTGACGGAAAGCAAAATAAATACCGATGATGGGACACGACCCTTGGGAACTGTGAAGAACAGTGACATTACAGTGACTCGTGTCACACACCAAGCCACAAACTAACTGGCCTTGTGAAAAAATTTTAACAAATTCTAACATATGTGATTTTAAGGTAAGTTTTGCAGCTTTCAGGGAATATTCACAAGTGAAAATATTTAGCCACTAACATCCCAAATTTTCATTAAAGAGGTCAGAATTCATCATCGGATCAGAATTATCATTCTTAAAAAAGAATTACAATTAAAAGTTTTTTTTTTCTTTGTTTGTATGACTACAGTATTATTGCCGACTTCAAACACTGGATGGATGGAATATATATTACAAAACAGAAACACTCACGTGATTTTAGCCAGGCTGTTGCATACAGGTGACTACCGTGAGAGTAAGTAACCTTGTGTGTGTCTTCCACAGCTACACATGTAATGTTTTAATTCTGTTGTATGTACGACGGACAAAAGCATTCATGCATTACTTTGTGCAATCCATGTTTAGTACGCTAGACCAAACACATGAGAAACAAATTCCTCATGTAAAAGCCAAACAAAACAATATTACGGTATTATAGGGCCATAGAAGTATTTACGTTTTATTTTGATTTATCTGATGGGCACCAGGGAGATGTGGAATATGAGCATGTTACTGCGATTTTCCATGACTTTGGGAGATGGCTGCCCCGCAATCCCGTCAAGCCGGCCTTGATAAAAAAGGACATGAACGCCTTGCTGAGGAGACTGCCGATAAAATCGCGGTGCGGGATGGACAGCGCGCTGTGTGATCTTCGGGTCATACCCAGAACCTGAGACCCGAAAACATGGGTGCGGTGGGGGCTCTGGAGTCCATGCGCACGTCCCCATGGGTCACCCCTCAAGGCGAATTATTTAAAACATTCAAACGTATGCAGAGAATATCCATAATGCAATGGTGCTCTAATCAGAATCTTTGGACGCAGCATCATTTGTGAAAGTAACACTCACTCGTGACACTCCTCTGTATGGGATTTTAACCCCTTCTTGTCCTGTTTGCACATATGACGTCCGTACCACTTCAATGTTCAGTATGTTCAAAAGACATTGTTTAATAGCCATAGATTTATCATGACCTCAAATTTAGTGAATTGTTTGGAGAAATATTGATGTTTACATTTTTTGTACTTTTCTTATGTCAGTACAGTAGCATGTTACATGCATTTTGGAAATGCATCTAATTTTAATTTATATTTAAGATTTTACTCTGGGGGGAATATAAATTATACACACAGACATTATTTGTAAACATAATGCTCCAAGATGTTCAGTGTTCATCTCCAATTTGTACACAGAGACTCAGACATTGAACAAGATGTTTTTTTAATCGTGTTCCTGGGTGTTTTTCGTCCCTACAGCTGTGGTGTCACCACATGGCGCTATGCTAATCCAGGACCGTTAGCATAACAAAAAGTCCTGAAACACGTAAGGTAATACTCATAATGCCATTTTAACCAAGACCCTAATAATCTTTATGTGTGACTGTTGGCATTTTAACCACTGATGTTCAAAGGTAATTTTTTCATTACTATTTAAGTTTAATATTCCTTTTAAGGGTGTGTTTTTACACTCTAAAATCATAGTACTTGTTCCAGTGTGTCCCAGCTTTAAGGCTTGTGAATTTAATAAAATTTCATGGGCAGAGGACCTGCAATTCTTCTGGCCAAATCCTTTCACATGCAATAAAAAGCCAAATTTTGCTGATTTTTATTGTGCTGTCACCATCCTCCACGTTTTTGCCATGTAAGTACATGACGGCAGTGATGTCAGACGCTCCCAAAGACCAGATTATAGCAGAGCCTTGCTTTGATTACCTAGTCAGAAACACAGAGAACATTTTCACATAAACAAATAATGCTCTTAAAAATGAATTTACTATTGGAAACAGACCTTTGTTTTATTTCCCATGGAATAATGGTTCAGCTTTTGGCCCAGTTTATTTATTTATTTTTTCTTTTAAAAAAAGCAACATGTTGAAATCATGCAAATGAGTCAAAATTCTTTGGGTCTTTGGATTTAACACACAAGTCAGAACCGGAGTTATTTTCCTCGTACAGCAAAGGTGAAGAAATCAGACACTTAACACGTTCAGTTCTTCCGAGTAAAACAGCTTCGCATGTGTCAGCTTACATCAGTCCGCAAGAAATGAGTAGGACATCTGAGCAGACAGTCTTTGAAGGAGAGGTATGGCCCCAAACCAGACACGCCGTACAGACTCTGGGCGCATGTTCCCAATGCAGACGTCTCAGAATAAGCGTTTGACTGAGCGAAATATCCCAGTGGGTTCTGATTGACCTGTGTGAGCTGCCACATTCATCGTATGTACATTCTAGATTGCATGAAATTGCAATATAACTTACAATTCTGTGTAAAAAAAGAAAAGAAAAACAGTCACAATAACAACATAAAACGGTACTAAATCATGTAAGGCTGCCCTGAATATATAGTTATTTTATGCTGTAACTGACCGTCTTCCTTTTCCAGACCAAACATCTAGAATGTTCCATCCTGCCCCATTTTACAACATCAGTAATGTTTGTTCATACAGATTTATGGACTCATAATATACTTTACAAGAAATTATTTTCATTTGTACTTAAATAGACTCCTTCGTTACATTTCAAAGCACTAGACTGAAACTGACGTTTTATTAAATTAGTTTGGATTGTTTGAAAGTGCACAAAACATGGTATGAGAGCGATGGACGATAAATATTATTTTCACTTTTTACATTTTATATTGAGAATGGCCTTTTATTGGCCTCTTTTTCCCTTTGGGGATGGGGGGGGGGCGGGGTGGGGTGTCAGAATATCACATTGAGACGAAAAGGAGGGGGACATTTTTCCCTCCCCCCCCCCCCCCCGCTCCTGTAAAATCATGCTGTAGAAACGTATCCATTAAAGGTAAGCTTGTGCATTCCCAGTACAGAGAGGTCCGACTCAGCACCCTGACTGACCGGCTGCCTTTGGTGTTATACAAAGAGTATGAAAGTGTGATATAAGAAAGCTACAGACGCAGGCTGATTTTTGGTATCTTTGCAATCCCCAGGCTCCCCTAAGCTCTGGGACACCCGGTTATAAATAAATCATCTTTCCTCCCCCCATTTCAGCACCCCCCCCACCCCACCCCACCAGTCCGTCCCAGGTTCTTATCTGTGCCAGGATCAATATCTCTTAACATCTCACTTATTTTATTACTGCTTTTGGTTTTCTGGGGCTGATCGAGAGTTTCTCAAGAGGAAATCTTTGGTTTTGCTTAAGTGTCCGTGACATTTAATCATGATTTTCCTTGCAGTTTAATTCCGGCCAGTCCATCACCTAATCCACCTCGATTGATTCGCCACTCTCACTGACCGGTTTGCACTCGTTGGGCATCCTCTGGTGTCTGCTCAGCTGGGTGGCCTGCGTGAAGCTCCTGTCACATCGCTCGCATCTGCAGGGGAGGGGGACACAGGACATCCAAAGGAAGCTCAGAGCCCATTACACACACATACACATTCACCACCACCCCCTCCCCCCCCCCCCAGAATAAT